TTCTTCTCAGTTCTTCAGCTTGTCTTTCTTGGGATAAACTTTCACAAAATATATTAATTTAGGGGCTCTGCTCAATTATTCCCATTTGTCTTGTGGAGTCCTGGACTTTGTAGAGTTACAGGATAATCTCTGCAGGTGTGTCTCTTAGAGTAATAGACTCCCACTGTCTATAGACTCCTATAGTAATAGTATTCCCACTGTCTCCATAGGCAACTGGCTTTCTGAGCCATAAACTGAACAGCTGTCCTCACAGGCACAGCATGAAGTGAACGAATGCTCTGCCTGCTCCTTAAATGTGGTATTTATGCACCATGAGTCAGCTGGCAACACAAGCCAGTGGTGAGAAGGCAGCCACATCTTTCCACCATACACTCACCTATGACTGGAACTTAACTTCCCAACTTACCTGTTTATAGGGAAACCTATAAGTAGGTAACTTGCATAATGAACAGCATGATGGGTCATCTGGATAAGCTTTCTGGTCCCCTTAGAAGGTCTATTTTCCACAGTAAATGCATATACAGAGATTTCAGCTGAGGGTGGTAGTGTTTGCTTGCAATCCCAGCACTTGGGAAGCTGAGGCAGGAGGCTAGCCTGGGCTATACAGTGAGATTTCATCTCAACAAACAAACAGATATACCATAATAACCCACACAAAACAAGCAAACATGCTAGTGTGAACCTCTCTTTGAGAGGTTCTTGGGTGCCCTCTGAGGCCATACTGTCAGTTGCAGACCTCTGCGGTGCTTCCTCACGATCAGGACAGGTGGTGATCCCCTTGATGAAGCCAGCCATGAAGACTCCTAGCTGCCTACGGGCTGCTTCTGTCTCACCAGTGATATTCAACCACTTATACTTGAAGACTAGAAATGGTATCTTATTTTACCTTCTGCCTTTTTAACAGTCCATTTACTGTTTTTAACATTCTACATTTAAAGGCATTTGAAAAGTTCTCTCAAGAGCTAGGATGTAGCTCAGTGTGGTACAGTGCTTGCCTAGCACATGCAAGGAACTGGTTTCAACCACCATCACCACTTCCTAAAACCTTCCTCTAAATTTGATAGCAATAACCATTTGCTGTACATTCTTTCACTTAGGGGATGCTGGGTTTTTCTGGTGCTGGTATCAGGACTTCAACTCAAGACCATTGTTCTCTCTTATTTCTTTTTCCTCTTAAGGCTGGTGCTTTACCAATTGACCCACAGCTCTACTTCTTGCTTTTTTCCTGGTTAGTCAGAGACAAGGATTTGTCTGTCGGACTTCAAATTGGGATCCTCAGATCTTAGCTTCTTAAGTAGCTAGGATTTTAGGTGTGAGCCACCAGTAGCCACTGGTACCCTGTAACTTACATGTATTGCTTCATTTAAGCCTTCTCTATGATCCAAGTGTGACATTCCTGTTGCACAGACAAAGTCTGAACCTAGGAAAAGTTAAGTTGGTTACAGAAAGCTAAACACAGAAGGGGTGTGTGGAAGGGTTTGAAGCAGGAAAGTGTACAGTGCTTATGCCCAACATATTCTCTGCTACTGACAATAACTTGCTTCTTTTCTTGGGCTCCACTTTGTGGAACTAAATACCAAGATTTGTGTTAGTCCCTCTAGGATTGGGTGCAAGCCCAGAGCTCTGGTCCTATCCAGAGCCATAAGGCAGATGGCAGATGCACTGTGGGTCCTGCATTCCGCCCACCCTCCACATCAGGGCTCAGAGGTTGGAGGTTCAACTTTGCCCAAGAGAATGTTTCCACTCTTACAGTTACTTATCCTGTCCTGACTGCTGTAGTTTGGGGCTATTCTGAGCCTTTCTTTCTTTTCTTTTCTTTCTTCTTTTTAGAGTGCACTAAACACCATGGCAACCAAATTATGTTTCATTTATTCTTATGCCATTTTAGGTTCAGTATTTAAATAACCCTGTTGAATTTTAAGCAGACAGATTATGTGATCCCTTTAACTGCTAACTTTACCCTCTACCTCCCCAATACTGTCTACTGGGAATCCACTAATAATGCATATGATGTAGGATTTTTGTACGCATTTTTTTTTAAGTTTCAGAGAACACTGCTTGTCATTTACAAGGAACAGAAGCACCATCCCCATCTGACTCTTGGCCACACCTACTTGCTTTTTACTCCCCACAGTGCTAATCCATTGATTAAGGGGGCAGCAGGATAATCAGAATGGAAAGAATACTTTCACCATCTACCTTTCCTCTTTTTCCTTAGTTTTTCTAATGGGAAGGACAGAAATATTTAAAAAAAAATATTTAGTGTTCCTCAGGGGACGTTTAGAGGACAACTTAGTGTGAAAACACTCAATTGCTGTGAAATAAGAAGAGGCAAGACTTTCACTTTCTTAATGTATACATTCTGTTTTAACCAAATAACAACTCCTTGTTTTGGTAGACATTCTGGATGTCTTTAACATTCTGCTGTACTGCAAACTATGCTGCCATGAACCAGCAATGCCAGGAAACTTAGAAAGAACATTTGCCCCTAGCTCCAGGTGCTCTGAAGAGAAAAGTCACATTTAATGGTCACAAAGTCACAAGAGGTGTATACATGGTCACGGACAACTTATTTGCTTACTTATTGATTGATTGATTGCAGGTACTGAGACGAACTCAGGGCCTTATGCTCTTGCCTGGTTTTTCTACTCAAGGCTGGTACTCTACCACTTGAGCCTTGCCTCCACCTATGGCCTTTTGCTGGTTAATGGCATTGCCCAATTTGTTAGGAAATAGAAAGACTTGGAAAAAATTATGTTAAGTGAAGTAAGCCAGGCCCAAAGAAACATAGGTCCGATGGTTTCCCTTATCTGCAGTAACTAGTGTATGTCTGAGTCAAGCACAAAAGGTCAAATGCTATGTACATATGACCACATACGATGATGTTAAGTGAAATGAACCCCAAGACAGGAACACAACTTGTTTTTTCTTTCTACTGTTTTTAATGTATCTAAAATGTACTAGGTGATTTTTTTGTTTCTCTTGTATGTTCTTCCCCCATGGTATAACCCCTGTTTTCACTGTAGTTGATGTTGGTGCCCTACATCTTGTATATACATTTTTCTAATTTGGGGAGGGGAAGGGAAATAACAAAATGCTGAAATAAGGATACAGGTTGATCCATTATAACAATGAGATGTACAAGACACTGTAGAAAACAAACTTTACAACTTGGTGGTGGGGGAGGGAGGAGTTGGGGAGGTGGGGAGGGAAGGGTTGGTAGGAGAAAAAAAAAGGAGGAAGTAACAATGCTCAATAGGAAGTGTACTTACTACCTTACTCCTGTAACTGTAATCCCTCTGTACAGTATTTTTACAATAAGAAACAAAAAAATTAAAATCAGCTTTGGGCTAGGAAGGTGGCTCAATGGTAGAGTGCTTGCTTTGCATGAATAAGGCCCTGGGCTTGATTCCTCAGCACCACATAAGCAGAAAAAGCCAGAAGTGGCACTGTGGCTCAAATGGTAGAACACTAGCCTTGAGCTGAAGAGCTAAGGGACAGTGCCCAGGCCCGGAGTTCAAGCCCCACAAACCGACCAAAAAAAAAAAAAATCAGCTTTATGGAAGTGTAACTTATATATACAAAGTCATGTAGTTTTATTTTTGGCAAATGTAGCCACCTACCTAACCCCCATCCAATCATAATACACCATGATTTCATAATCAGGAGGTGGTCTCTTGCTCCTTTGCTTTTAATCTTCTCCCACACTCAGTTGTGTTTTACAGAATCTTGAGAAATGTTTATAAGCCCCTAAGTCCCAAGCCATTTCAGAACAGGAAATCTACCTTGAAATTTATAAAGGTGAAGAAGCATTTTTAATTATCTATTTATTTATTTAGGTACTGGGGCTTGAACTCAGATTTCTTTTTTATTTTTTTTTTGGGGGTCCGGTCATGGGGCCTGAACTCTGGGCCTGGGCACTATCCCTCAGCTCTTCAGCTCAAGGCTAGCGCTCTACCACCTGAGCCACAGCGCCACTTCCGGCTTTTTTTGTTTTTGCTTATGTGGTGCTGAGGAACTGAACCTAGGGCCTCAGGCATGCAAGGCAAGCACTCTACTACTGAACCACCTTCCCAGCCCCTGAACTCAGAGATTTTTACCTGAAGACAATGCTCTACCACTTGAGCGATGTGCCAGTTCTTCTTACTTTTTACAGTTTGTTTTTCAGATAAGGATCTTATGCACTAACTATGCCATGGTAGGCCTCAGATGTCAATCCTCATACCTCTGCCTCCCAAATAACTAGAATTACAGGTATGCACCACCACACCTTGCCTAGACTAAGATCACAAAATGAAGATGTTTTTCAATCCTCCCAGTTTCAATCCCCTGCCTTCTTATTTTTCTTTTTAGCATAATTAATAATATAAAACCCATGGCTTTTCACTATGACATTAGCATACAAGTATACAATATACTTTGATTATATTTACTCCCTTCCTGCCTTCTCTACCCCACCACTCCAAAATCACTTTTTCCCAAATATAAGACAGAAATTCTTGGCTAGTCTCTAGACTCCCCTCCCACTGCGCTGCCTCAGCACCAGAACAGTGCCAGGCTCAGGGTATACATTCATTAAATAACAGTTGATTAGAATGATTAGATTAGATTAGATTCCTCTCAAACTAGAACTAAGAACAGAGCACTGACTTGGTGCTACCCATTCTGAGGGGCATCAGGCTCTGGAATGTTGATGTCAACACTTAGGGATACACTTTCAAATCTGGAGTTGCATTTTGGGAAAACATTTCATGCTCTGAAAGTTCTTTTCACTAATGATTTTAAAGAGGAAGAGCAGCATTCATGCATGTGGCCAACCAAGTGCTCAAGGGATGGTGGTAAGTTTCAGTGGAAGGAAAATAGATCCCTGGCTTTATGTTTCTAAGCACTGTAATTATCTCCAGTCTTTGAAGCCAGTGAAAGGGAGAAATAAATATTTTAGAAGCACATTAAAGCTGCAGGCACAAGCAACTCCTCCAAATACAAAGGGGCACACTCACCTGTTCTGAGAAAAACCGGAAGCCCTTGTCCTCTCGAATACATTCATATGTCTCTCCAAGGACAGGATTAAACGGCTTGCTCCCAGCTCGGAAGTAGCTAGATGCATAGGCAGAGATGGCGAAGGCTGCTACGTATACCTGTAGATTGAAAGGAAAGAACCTGGCTACTTCTGTGTCACCAAGAAACTTGTTTTCTACAAAGAAATGAAATCAAATATTTCTCAATTTGTCTTGCTACTGTTTATCTCAGAAAGCCAAAGATTTGTCTTAGGTTTAAAGAAAACTGAAGTTACAGGTTAAAATAATGTTCATTTTGGCCCAATGTTACAGCTTGAATATGCATGACCCCCCACAGGCTCATTATTGAAGGATTTCTCCTTAGCTAGTGACTCTGGAAACTTTAAGATATGGGGACTTGGCTGGAGGAAGTTGGCACCGAGGGGCTAAGTGGGCATGTCCTTGGGGTCTGAATCTTGTTTTGGGCGTCTCTGTGTTTTTTCTCTTTCCCTGACCACTACAAGCTTCAGCCACATGTTCTTACCGCCATGATGGTGTACCTCAACATAGGCCCAGGCTCAACAGAGATCTATGGACTATAATTTCTGCAACCATGAGTCAAAATAAAGAATTCCTTTGTTCAAATTATCCTATCAAGTATTTTCTCACAGTAGCAAAAAGCCCAATTAATACCCAGAAGCAAATCAATTAGTAATTTTAAAGTGGCCATTTACTTTTTGTTGTTGTTGTTGGTTGTGGGGCTTGAACTCAGGGCCTGGGTGCTGCCTCTGAGCTCTTTTGCTCAAGGCTAGTGGTCTACCACTTTGAGCCATAGCTCCACTTCTGGTTTTTGAGTGGTTAACTGGGCATAAGCATCTCACAGGGACTTTTCTGCTAGGGCTGGCTTCCAACCATGATCCTCAGATCTCAGCCTCCTGAGTAACAAGGATTACAGGCGTAAGCCACCACTGTCATTTACTTTGATACCTAAAAGCTCAGAGGACAATTAAGATGATGATATTCATGGCATAGTGAGTTGGGTTCGGACACTTCCAGCTTCATACTACTTGGGAACCCTGACATTAGGATTTCAGGGGAGAGAAAGAGTATAAGAAGAAGCTAAACTTTCCCTGAAACTCAGGAGGATGTATCCTAAGGTTGGTTGTTTTGGTTTTGTGCCAGTTCTGTGGCTTGAATTCAGGACCTCACGCTCTTGCCTAGCTTTCTTGATCAAGGAGGTGCTCTATCACTTGAGACACACCTCTACTTCCACCTTTTTGCTGGTTAACTGGAGATAAGAATCTCAAGGACTTCTGTACCTGAGCTGGCTTTGAGCCTTGATCCTCAGATCTCCTTCTGAACAGCTAGGAACACAAGTATGAACCACTGGTACCTGGCATAACCATTCAAAAAGCCTAAAAAGCAGAGCACTGGTGGCTCATGCCTGTAAACCTAGCTATTCAGGAGCTGAGATCCGAGGATCACAGTTTGAAGCCAGCCTTTGAAGCAAAGTCCATGAGACTCTTACCTTCAATAAACTACTCAGATGAAAACAGAAGTAGCACTGTGGCTAAAGTGATAGATCACTAGTCGTGAGCACAAAGAGGCTCAGGAACAGAGCCCAGGCCCTGAGTTCAAGCCTAGGGACTGGCAAAAAAAAGGCACCTAAAAAGTAGAAACCTAACAAATTATTTTGAGTCCAGAAAATTTGTGAGAGTAGTTTTCTGACTAAGAAACAACCACTGGCTACAGTGGTTTAATCTTCTGATTTTTGGGGAAGAAAAAAATACTAAAAGGGGGAGGACCACAGTGATAACTATATATGTATGCAGAAATGAGAAAAATCTTTTACTGTCCCTCCTGATCAAGATGCCAGAATTTTTTTTTATCATATTCTCCATTCAAAGAGATACATCTTTTTAAGAAAAACTTTCAGTTTGGCTAAAAGAGCTAAACCCAAGTAGTAAGAGCAGGGTTTCCCTTTCTCAACTTTTCTTTCTTCTCAGCATACTTTGAAAAGTTTCTTATACTGAAGGAAAGCCTAAGTGCCTTTAAAAAAAACAAAACTCTCACCGTCATATAACCTTCTGTGTTAACCTTTTGCAAAACAGTTGAGTGTTGCCTGCAATAGGACCCAGCTTGTCACCTCACATTGTAGATTGCTTGAGAGCTGCTGGATAGTTTATAAAAATCTTCTTGAGTGGGGGGTATAGCAGTGATACAGTGTCCTTCGCATGCACAAGCCCAACATCACACACACAAAAGTCAATTTACTACATTTTGGTCAATCCCATTGATGACTGCCTACAGTGTCAAAACCTGAGTAGATATTATTTTCTCTGCATCTGCTATGAGTTAGGAGAAAAGCAGCCAATCAGGGAGTTGCATTCTATACAGCTTGTAGATAGCAGGATGAGCTGATAAACTACAATGTGTCTGACAATTAAATGGGTTCAGGGGACTGTAAGAGAACAGGAAGTAAGAAGGGCAAAAGAATAAGAAAATAACTGGGTACTAAATTTCTGGCATGACCTTACAGAAAACAGAAAGGAGACCCACCAATCACAAAATCATCATCTTCAAGGACTCCAATTTTCCCTATTTAACTTAAGGCCATATTCCGTAATCAGAAGATATAGCACAAGATGGCAGAGATGGGCTGAAGTGTTATCTTTCTATGGCACATCTATACCACATGCTCTCTTCCTCTGCCACATTTCTTTTCTAATAAACTTACCTCTCATCTTTACTTGTATTCAGAGCTTGCCTGAATTCTTTTCTTGTCAGATGCAAAGGAAGGGAGGGGAGGGGAAGAGAAGGACTGAGGTCAATTCAGCTGTCCTAAATTTCTGGTAATGTATTTGGGGCATAGGCCAGGAAGTTATGAATTATGTGCATCTTTTCCTGACTTGGATTTATCAAAAGGTTACACTTTCTTGTCTGTAACCTGTGAAACAGTAAGATCACAGTCTATATGAAATGCTGAACAGTTCTGAATCACCATCACAACTGAAAATATAATTCATTCATTATGCTGGGGGAAAAAGGAAATGGGAGGGGGCGGATGAAGCACCTCCTTTTGGGTTCATAGCACAGCAGGGGGACTTTGCAGGAGGTAACCTGCAACACACTAAAGGTGCCTCTGCTCAGTAAGGTGCTAGCTGGGAAGGCTGTCCTCATACTTCTGCTTCAGTCAATGACATAGTTAAATCTAAGCGATCTGATCACCGCAGAACATCCTAAAGGTATCCAAGATGCTGTGGGAACAAAATTCCTTTAAGAATACTTCTGTGTTCCAAGTCAATCATTGTCTTTAAAAACCTGCCTACAAATGTTGACTTGAAATCCCAGCAGAAATTCTCTGAGGAAGAGTAACAAAGATTTTTAAAAACAGCTTGGTTTTCTGTTTTGTCATTATTGTAACTGTCAAGAAAGAAAGTCTTCTATGGGAGACAAAGTAGGACTAGATGTTTCTTCGGGTCAGTGGTTGAGAGATTTCCCTTTAGTCTTTAGACCTCTTAAGTAATGAAGTTTTCATGAAGATTAAAACCAAAGAATATATATCATCTACCTCCCTTCCTTCTTCCCTTCCTCCCTCTCTTTCTTTTATTCTTTCTTTGTCTTCTGTGCTGGCACTGGGGCTTGAACTTAGGGCTTCCAGCTCTCACTTGAATTTTTCTGTTCAAGGCTGGTGTTATACCAATTGAGCCATATCTCCACTTTAACTTTTTGCAGGCTAATTGGAGGTAAAGATTTCTCAGATTTGTCTGCCCTGGCTGCCTCTGAGCCTTAATTCTCAGAACTCAGCCTTCTAAGTAGTTAGGATTACAGGCATGGGATACCAGCACTTGGCTACATGCAGCATTTTTAAATGATTGTGTCCTCTACCAATGGGAAGATGAATCAGCTTAGGTCTGTGAAGCTGAGGGGTGCTCCAGGTCTAAGTTGGCCAATCAGAGACGACCCAGGGAAGTCTATACCTAGGGAAGACTGAAGTCCCAGCATCTCAGGCAGAGCACAATGTTACTGTGTACCAGACTACAATTGGGAAAACAAAAGAACAGTTTTCACAATGGGATCTTTCAATGTGTAAGAACAGACTTTTCCCCTACTTTATATAATGAGGAGGGGAGGGGAAGAATCTCTCTGGTGTAAAAAATCTCTTTGAGTTTATTTTCCAAAATCCTAAAAAATAATGGGACAATTCCAGAAATAGCCCACAACATTCTCAAGGGAAATTTACACTGGATGAGAAAAACAGCTTACGATATTAAATTCTGTGCACCCAGGGTAGTAAAAATAAACATGCAGACAGCCCTAAAGCCATGTTTTCCAAACTGGCCTAGAGAACCATAAGATGGATGCTTCTGGAAAAAGAGGTACCATAAAATCACAGAGCAGACCTACCCTAAGCCCAGAGTTTTCTTTCCCATGCTGACTAGATCCCAACAAGGTGACTAGAAACAGCCAGGTCACGAGGAAGGAATGCCTCTGAGAAATGATCCTCTCTTGAGAGCAATAAAAAATGAAAACCAGAGGGCAATAAAAAATGGAAACCAGTCTGTCCATCCATCTGGGCTCTGGTAGGCCCAGATAAACAGGCTTGTGGCTCAGGACCAGGATGGACAATGCCACTGGCAGGTCTAATCCTTACCATTCTTTCCAGGGGGCTGGGAATCTGGGCAGCCTTGTCCAGCAGCTCACTGTACTCCAGCTCCTCGCAGAGCCTCTGTAGTGTGTTTAGGGGCTCGTTCAGCTCCACCGGCATGGCCACTTTGGACAAGTCCTTGCCTATGTTGTTTCTCAGAATGTTCCACAGGCTGATGTTGCTGGTGTTGGGGCCTGGTGCAGGCAAACATGTTCTTCTTTTGGACCTTGCTTCCTCACCACTCTCAAGAATAGGTCCTGAAAGGCAAAAAGGCAGTGGCTATCTTTATGAAGCTTTTCACTTTAGTCCACCATAACAAACAACAATCTGCCAAGTACAACTGCATGCTTCTAACCCAGTTACTTAAGGGACTGAGATCTGAGGGTCATGGTTTGAAGCCAGCCAGGCAGGAAAGTATCTGAGACTCTTATTTCCAGTTACCCAGAAGAAACAGAAGTGGAGCTGGGGTGTAAGTAAGTGGTGGAACATCAGCCTTGAGTGAAACAACTAAGGGAGAACACGAAGCCCTGAGTTCAAATCCCAGTACTAGCACATTCACACATGTACATAAACACACACACACAGACACACACACAAATCTGTAATAAAACTTTTTAAAAAACTCAATTATACTATTAAATCCACTATCTAGAGTATGACTCGACTCCAGAAAACAAGCAAAAGATTTTTAAGCAAGTAAGAACCAAAACTTAGGGCCAGGATGTATATAGATCAGTACCACAGTGTGTGCATAGTACGCTGCAAACTCCAGCATTGCAAAATACATACACATATGCATACATATCAATGATGTTACAAACTGAAGTTCATGCAATTCATTCCTGGGGAGTCTCTTACATTCTTACTCAAAAGCTAGTTCCTCGTAGCTTTAAATGCTAGAATAAAACTGGAAACTGGATTTCTATGCCTATCTGATTTACTTATAAAAAAATCTTTTAAAAAAAAGGGCTGGGAAGGTGGCTCAGTGGTAGAACACTTTCCTTGCATGTGTGAGGCCCTGGGTTCGATTCCTCAGCACCACATAAGCAAAAAGAAAAAAAGCCAGAAGTGGAGCTGTGGCTCAAGTGATAGAGCACTAGCCTTGAGCTGAAGAGCTGAGGGACAGGACCCAGGCCGAGTTCAGGCCCCACAACCGGACCCAAAACAAACAAAGAAACAAAAAACTTTAAAAAATGATACCAAATTCTGACAAATGCAATTGTGTCTTGTTTATTGTCTCTTGTTTTTAAGATGAGGTCTTGCTATATAGTCTAGGCTGGCCTCCAAAAACTTTCTATGTAGCTCTAGGTGGCCTCGAACTATTCTTGTTGCTGCCTCCTCAGCATCAGGAGGCTGAGATATGAGGATCATGGTTTCTCCATCTATGTTTTAATTTCTGCTATTCAGCTAACAGAAGTAACTGGATGTTTTTAGACTTTTGGTTCATATAATCAGAATGCTCTTCAAAAAAAGCTATTGTTAATGTCTGGGCAATGAGTAGCCCTTCAAAAGGTGACTGTTTTAGAACCAGGTGCTAGTGGTGGCTCACACCTGTAATCCTAGCTCTTCAGGGGCTAAGATCTGGGGGATCACAGTTTGGAACCTTTCTACTGATGGGATTACACAGGTGTGTGCTCTCCTGCTTGTTTGGAAGTAGTTTCCAAAAATGGCTTTCCATATAGTCTCAAAATGGGTTCTCTGATTATACTAATCCAAGTTTTGATCTAATACCACTCTCTGCTATAGTACTAATGGATAACACATACATTGCTTTTTACTTAATGGTGGTCAGTTCTCGAAGCATTATACACATATATTCTCATTCATTCCTTATGACTACCTTTTGGGTAGTATAACTGTCCTCATTTAGATATGAAGAAAAAGTGAAGCTCAGAGAAGCTAAGCAATTAACCCAGCCCACAAAATATTCTAAAAATTCTAGTATTTACTGTGAGCTGTGAAACATTCTGGAGTAACAATGCAGCGTTCTAGAGTAACAATGGACCAAGGCTTTGATTCCATCCTATTTCCTTCTGTAAACAAAACTGAGTTATAGGACATAAAGACTAGTCCTACAACCATCTTTTCAAGATGTATAGAAATTTAATCTTCCTTGGAGAATGTTTACAGAGAACCAGGGTTACCCATATCTAGTATGTAGAGATTAAAAAAAAAAAAAAAAAAACTTGGTTAAGCTAAGGTTACAGTGGTCTGTAAGTTTCAGAGAACCAATCCTCACTTCTATGCTTTTCCTAGATGCTGTCAACTGAACTATGCTCTTTGGTGCTGAACCATGTCCTCTCTTCCTAACTTTGGCCTCTGAATACCCCATTTACTCTGTGCTCCCTTTGGCTCCTTAGGGCCCCTAAGAAATGGAGGCCCTCTGCATTTGCAGTCTTCCACATCCATACTAGGGAGATCCATTTTAGTATGCTGTTTACCAGCAAGGGGTCAAGTGATGTTTCTTCATTTCTCTTTTACTCTGCTTTCTTGACTTCTTAGAAAAACAAGTAGCACAGGAACTGTTCCTATATTACTGGGCTTCTACTTTACATGCACTAGTTTTTAGACTTTTCCATCAAGGGTTTCTTTTTGCAGAAATATTTCAAACAAAAATTCAGAATATGATGAGCATCTCATATCTTAGCAGGTGCAATGCTGAAAAGATGCTTTTACTGACAATGGAAAAATTATCTACCTGTCCTTGTGGTCCCCAAAGGGGTGGCTCTTCAGTATTTAGACTATTCATCACCATAGTTCCAGCATAATTACTGAACCGAGAAACACTGAATTATCAGTTTAGGCACCTGCTATACTCTGTCTGCTGTGCAGGTGTGAAAATGGGTGGTATTCTGATATCTAACACACCATGCAGACAAATTAGAAATCTCAGGACATAGTATCAGATGGGAAGTTCTGGATGCTAAAGGACCTATACAGGGAAATGTCCAATCAGATAGAATTTTTTTAAGGGCACCTCTCAACAGGTTTCCCACAGTCTACTTCCCACAGCCCTAAGCTGTTCAAAAGTAGCAAAGCACCCTGGGTACCCTGCAGCTCAAACTACCACTATGAAATATCTTTTGTGGTCATCATTTTCCCTCTGGGTATCAAGTAGTAATAAAGGAATGTCTTACGGATACCTTGAGGGAGAGAGAAGTACATTACTTTGAATAATCTAAAATCAAGCTACCATTTGAATCAGACTATTAGATATACCCTACAAAATTCTTAAATTACAACTGATATTTAAAGGTTAAAAAAAGCCATATTCTAATGCATTTGCAGAATGTTTGACTGTAGAAGGGACAGCTGTTGCAATATTTTTGACATTCATAAAAAAATCAGTGTATTCTCTATAAAATAAGTATTTGTACAAGCAGACCAAGTTATTTGAATGAATATATTTTTCATATGTGGGTGCCAACACCTCATCTAAATTATGAAAAGCTGGAAGGTGTGGGGACAGTTTGTTAAGTTTCTAATGTAGTCCTTGCTACCCTTCTCTTTGCATGCAGCAGAAACTCTATATATGCTTGTTATTGTACTGTGAGATGCAAACATTCAGATATCCAACAATGTATATCTAGCCAGGTGCTGGTGGCTCACTCTTGTAATCCTTGTTAATCATGAGTTGAGATTTGAGGTTCCAGGTTCCGAGGCAGCCTGGGCAGAAAAGTCCATGAGTCTCTTTTTCTCCAATGAACCAGCACAAAGAGCTGTGGCTTAATGTGTTAGAACACCAGCCTTAAGCAAAAAAAACACATAGGAAGAGCACATAGTCCTGATTCAAACTTCAGTACCAGCACCAAAACAAACAACAAAACAATGTAAGCTTACCTACGGTCTGTCTTTCATTATCCAAATCATTACTGAGATTGTCTAAGGAGAGATTGTCACTTATATCACTGACATATGAATCATCATCAGAAATCTGTGGGAAAGAACAAATATATGCTAGAGAAACAAACAAGAGTCACTAAATGGTCAACCATGTTGCATTCCATGTTACAAACATATAGAAATAATTCTGAGTGCTATTTTCATAGAAGTCTATAGGCCGATCTGTCCAAGTGATAATCATGAAAAAAAACAACAATCATTAAATATTTATACATTCTTGATTCATTCTCATAAGGAAGAAAAAATAGCAGGGGAATTCAAGATTTCTATTATAAAAATTCTTATTAATTCAGACAGCATTTTCAGAGTTTGCTAGTAGTTGACTAGTTAAAATTCTTCTTTGAGAAAAAGGACTTTCTATAGGAATACAAAAGTAATATTACTTCCATATCCAAGGGGTGAAATTATTTATGCATGCTTATACATAGCAATGCTAGCTATGCTACTTGCCTATTCCAGAAAGTAGTTTTTATTATCAACTGAAAACATTATATGCTACAAATTAATACAATAACCATATTATAATAATACTAAAATTATATATAATTTTATCACATAATATGGATAAGTTACACAGAATGCTAATTTCTTTCTTTGTAGTAACAATGATATTCTCTGTTGTTGTTGTTGGTTGTGGGGCCTGAACTCTGGGCCTGGGTGCTGTCCCTGAGCTCTTCAGCTCAAGGCTAGCTCTCTACCAAAGCACCACTACCAGCTTTTTCCTGCTTATGTGGTGCTGAGGAATTGAACCCAGAGCCTCATGCATGGAAAGCAAGCACTCTACCACTGAGCCACCTTCCCAGCCCTAAAAATGATATTCTTAAATAAGTAGAAGTCAGAACTTTCAATCTGTAATTGAAAAAAGTATAAAAACTAAGTAACACAAATGAGAAGGTATTCAACTATTTGTACAACTTTTTCTTCTAGCATGTCACATCATTTTGTGTTTTTTGGGTATAATTTATGAGAGGACTCTGAGAATGAAATGGGTGGTGTGGAAAAGGGACATTGAGTTCAGTGTTTCTACAGAGATCTTTACTGAACAGGTTGGTCAAAAAAACCACAAGAGATTTGGGATGCAGCTAACTAAAAACAGTTTTCAAACCTCATTCTCTGAAGAGCTTGGAGATAATAAGACTTCTTGGGCATCAAAAAACTCTGAAAGGGAGTCAGTGATGGAGAGCCTGCTCTCATTGGAAAGCTGGTGAACCAGGGTGCGGTTTTCATCTCTGGAGTTTTCCTTTGAAAAACACAAACAAATCCACATCTATTTAAAAACAGTCTCAAGAGAAACAAAATAAACAAATGATTTAGTTGCATAAGTACAGGTCACAAGCCCATGCAAACAGACAACTCAAAGCACAGGTCAGCTCCAAAGTTGAGAAGAAGCATGCCTCACACAAAACGAAAAGAGAAAAAATGAAGTTCTCTCCCCAACAGGCACTTCACAGTTCAGACTCACTCCACACATCTCAAAGCCAAAAACCAGGGTAGTATTTGTTCCATTTGAGAAGGGAAAATTCCAGTGCTCTGAATCACATCCCTTTATTGCTAAGACATTTTTATTTCACCCTAAAATTTCCTTGGAATTGTACTGAATGCAGGTCTTTGCATGGCTGATTCCAGGGGAATAGACTTTTTTTCTGTCTCTATGTGCTCCCAGAGGCTGCTTATTAGGCATTTTGTAAAAAACAGACTTGTGTTTCATTCAAAGGTGCCGCTGTGGCAGATCATTCATTATTCATGTATAAGTGAGATGAACTCTTTTTGTCTGTCTCTGTCCACCAACAATGACTCTGCAAGGGAAGGAGACCCCTGATCTTTGACGTAGCCTCTATAAGAAGAATTTAATGACATATCACTCCTGACTCAACACAGATGGCCCTCTATCTCCACTCCACTCCATGTAGACTTGCCCTCTGAGAAGGACCTGAATTCCCTGAGAGAAAGCTTCTATTATATTTGCAAGTGAAAATTCAATTTGACTCAACACATTAAGTGGTTAACTTGTATAGTCTCCAGCTGGTCATGGAAGAATATGGTAGAATAAGATTTCTGACCTGAATGAGCAGAGAACATTCAATGAACATTAAACCAAGGCTGTGTGAAGAGCAAAGAGGAAGCAGAGAAGAAAGTAGCTGCATAGAAACTTCTGGAGAGGACTTCACAGATGTGACCTGGACCTTGGTTAGGACAGATTTAGGAAAGAATGACTAGATTCCTTAAACACGGAGGAGAAGCTCATCTTTTTCCAAGCTACAGCAGGAGTTGCTTCTAATTATGTATCTGATAAGCAAGTCTTAGAATAATGTGAGAAACAAGAGTTAAACCAGATGATGCCTTGTCCAGAGATTTTTAGTTCAGCCTATACTGCTCAGTCTCATCCATGTAAAATACACCTAAGGAGTGGATATCAGGACCCAAGGGTTTCTTGTGTATTTCTTAACCAGTAAAGGGTTAGGAATCTCTTTATGAAGTGTTCACTTTGGGCACACACAGTCTATCCCTTTCTTTAGATTCTGCCTAAATAAGAAATCTCCCAAGGAAGATAATGGTTTAAAGATTCCACTGTTTTAACATCCATGAAGTCTTCTGAAAAGTCATCTTTTTCTTGCTCCTAACAAAGAGATGATTGTAGAATCTAAGAAGTATTACAGCTGTCATCTTAAACTCCTCTGAAAAGAGTTTGAAGACACTTGGTGATTAGCAGAACTCCTTTAAAGCAATGGAATCTTCCATCTCCTCTGAGCCTCACCATGGGAGAAAATACTTTATTTACTAGTGCTGTTCATTAACTCATTACTGCACATTCCTGCTCTGTCTGTTCTTCTTACTGGCCTGATGAATCTGTAGGAATTTCCTGGTTGGTCAACACTGAAAATAATACATCTTGAGGATTAGTTATCTGAAATGCCTGGCACCACATTTTGGACTTTTGAAATATTTGCATGTATATAAGATAAGGTATCCTGGGGATGGAACACTAATCTAAACAGGTCTTACACACCTGAAGCTACTTTTCTATGGTATTGTTAGTGTACTTGTGTTTTGAGTGTGATCTGTCACATTAAGTCAATTGTGGAATTTTCCACTATGGCATCATATTGATACTAAAAAGGTTTGGGAATTTTTTTTTGGGGGGGGGGGTCCAGTCGTGGGGCCTGAACTCTGGGCCTGGGCACTATCCCTCAGCTCTTCAGCTCAAGGCTAGCGCTCTACCACTTGAGCCACGGCACCACTTCTGGCTTTTATCTTTTTGCTTATGTGGTGCTGGGGAATTGAACCCAGGGCCTCAGGCATGCAAGGCAAGCGCTCTACCACTGAGCCACCTTCCCAGCCCAAGGTTTGGGATTTTTAAAGCATTTCAGATTTTTTATTTTGTTTTAGCAATCCTCCTCCTTTTACGACTAACCACCACTTGGCTACAATTTCTAGACAACTTAAAATCTCATTTGTTAAAATATTAACAGTCAGGCTGGGAATGTGGCTTCATGGTAAAGTGTTTGCCTCTCATGCATGAGGTCCTGGGTTTGATTCCTCAGTATGACATAAATAAAAAAGTAATTAAAATATTAACAATCCCATTCAACAATTTCCCCTCATGCTTTGTAACTTAGGCGTAGTTGCCTATCTAGTTTACTTTACAAAAAGTTAAACATGGAAAAAGGAAGGAAAAAATTCATAATCCTGCCACACTACCAAAACTGATAATACATTTCTCTCCCACTTTTTTTTTTTTTATCAGGCTTCCCTTAAGATTGTAGTCTTTCTGTCTTGCTTCTAGAGTGCTGGTTATAGTTATGTAACACTATACCTGGCTCCAATCTTTTTTCTCTTTTTACTTATTTTGGTATTAGGGTATATTAACAAGGGTTTCATGGTGATACTTTCATACATTTGTTTAGCGGATTTTGAACAAGTTCACTTTTTCCCAATATATATATATATATATATATTTTGGGGGGGGGGGGGTCCGGTCATGGGCCTGAACTCTGGGCCTGGGTGCTGTCCCTCAGCTCTTCAGCTCAAGGCCAACGCTCTACCAGTTGAGCCACAGTGCCACTTCCGGCTTTTTTCTTTATGTGGTGCTGAGGAATAGAACCCAGGGCCTCAGGCATACAAGGCAAGCGCTCTACCACTGAGCCACCTTCCCAGCCCCTTTCCCAATATTTTTATTCATCTAGTTTTGACTTTATTTTAATATGTAATTATATTATATTCCTACTATTTATATGTAATTTTATGAACTTTTCCACATTGCATCAAAACTTTTCAATATTAACATGTTCTGAACAAAAAGTCTTATGAATTCAAAATAGAAAATACAGAAAATGTAAATAGAATATCACTTAAAATTTCATCGGCTTGGTAAGGAAGGTCCTTACTAACCTATTGATGTGTGTGTATATTAAATGTTTGTGCACCTTTTTATTTAGAAAAATTAGGACCAAACTACATATAATCTGTATATTTTCTGCTGCATACACCTAATGTACTGTAAGCAATTTTCCAGATTGTTACAAACTCTCTGAGACAACGTAGATGAATCAATAAATATTTAATTGTATGTATGTAATATTGAAAATTAAGGGTGCTTACAGGTTTGCAAAGATGGAATCTTTGTAAATATGTCTTTGCTTCTATTTCGTTGCTCTTTAGGATCATTTTCTACAAGCAGAATTATATATGTATATATATATGTGTGTATGTATGAAGTAGTAATCTATGTATTCATTTTATTTTTAATTTGAATAATATGTAAAAAGTACTATGTTTTATTAAGAGCAATAAATACTATAGAAATATATAAATACTATAGAAAAAATGTGCTAATCTAATTGTTTTCGTTTTCATTAGGCTGAATATTATTAAAAATGCAAATATAGTCTTAATATAGGGAGAGCCAGGATAACTGGCATACTTCTTTGTCCCTTCCTGTGAATTTGCAACTACAATCAGGTGATTGTGAATTTGTAAGCACAATCAGGTACCATCTGTAAAAGGGTCTCATAAAGTTATAACAGAGCTGAAAAGTTGTTATCCCTAAGTGATATCATAGTGGTCATGACAATGCAGAGTAAAGCATGACTGGTGTTTGTGATGATGTTGGTGTAACAAAACCCACTGTACCCAAGTCCTATAAAAGGACAGCACATGTGATTACATGGGGTTCATAATTCTTGATAATGATATGACTGTGCTGGGTCTTTACCAGATCACAATTTTTTATTACTATTTTAAGATTATGCTCCTGCTGGATATACAAAAAAGCCAGTTAGCTGTCAATCAGCTAACCTACCTGAAGTGGTCCTCTAGGAGGAATTCCAGAAGAAGGAATTTCATGCTTGTTACCTCTAAAGGCCTTGTAGTAGGACAAGATGAGGAAGAGAAATATTGAGGATTGGAGCACTGTAAAGGCTGAGGCTAACAAAACCAAAAAACATGTCCTAGGTATGTACACAGGTATGCAGTCTATTTACTGTCCAGGTTTGTGGATGTACACTTTATGTTCACCCAATAATGAAATCATCCAATAATGAGTATCTCAGAACATAGCCTAGCACTGATTCATACCTAGCAGTTATACAATTTATGACTGAGTTGAAAACTAAAACTAAAACTAAAAATCCTACAATTATTTTGTATGTTTGTATATGTGTGTGTTTGTGTATGTGTAGAGAGAGAGAGAGAATTATATTACTTTTCTATTTGTGTTGAGTTCTTCATTTACTTGGTATTATTTGTTCACTGTTTACATATTAAAATCATTTTTCTGAGTTTAGTATGTGCCTTCTTTGTTTTTGACATATGCCAAATCTATTCGACATTTCTTTTGCCATGTTTTTATTACTCTTCAGTTTAGGAACTCTTCTCTGCTCCAGCAGTTTGATAAATACTCAAATCAATATTTTTTCCATTAAAATTTTTATATTTAACTTGAATTGGTTGGGGATTCATTTTATCATGCAATGGAAATAATTCAACTTCTTTCCAAATTGCTTTGAGCTGCACTGATGTACTTTATTTAATAATCCATCTCTTTCTCGTTGGTTTTTTTTGATGCCTTATCAAGGTATTTGTTCATTTGTTTTTTTCTTTCTTGGTACTGATACTGAGAGTTTAATTCAGCTTCACATTCTTGCTTAGCTTTTTCTGCTCCAAGCTGGTGATGTACCACATGAGCCACACCCCCACTTCTGGCTTTTTGCTGGTTCATCAGAGCTGAAAGTCTCTTAGACTTTCCTGGCCTGGCTTCAAATCTTGATCTTCACTTCTCAGCTTCCTGAGTAGCTACGATTACAGGCATGAACCACTGGTACCAAGCCATTTCTTTTGTACATAAAAGAAATACCTGAAGTGACCATCGCCATTTTTTACCATATCACTCACTACCTTATTTTAATTAACTGTGGGAATATTGTTTCTGTTTTTGTTTTTGCTCCTGGGGCTTGAATTCAGGGCCTGGGCACTGTCCCTGAGCTTCTTTTGCTCAAGGCTAGCACTCTACCATCTGAGCCACAGACCCACTTCTGGCTTTTTTTTTTCTTCTGTGTATGTGGTACTGAGGAATCGAACCCAGCACTCTACCATTAAGCTACCTTCCCAGCCCCAACTATGGGAGTTTTTTTAAGCTGTTTTCTGGCTTAGAATACCTTCACTATATAATGGTATGACAGTACTGAGCAAACATGCTCTGGTCTCATTAAATGCAGATTTAAATCCCTGGCTTGTCTCTTATAAGCTGTGTGTCTGTGTGTCCAATTTTTAGCCTCTCTCAGGTTTACTTTCCTCTGGAATTTCCATGAAATCCCTACCACTTACTTTATAGAGTCAAGGTCAGAATTTTTGAGGTATCTATCTCCTAGAACTGCTGGAAAGGCAAAAGCACACAAGCTAAAATAATAAAGCTCGCATATTCACTTTCAGATTTTTAATTTTCTTGCTTTTTCAGTTTCTTTAATAGACAAAAATGCAGAAAGATGTTATCCGTATTAAAAAGTATTTGGCCTTTCATTTGGAATCTATGATAACATAAAATAATCTTAAGAAAAGATAATTTCATATTAAACGTTTGATTCAGAAATATAAAGTAAAAGGGACTTGATAAACTGTGGGAGTAATTTCTGATAGGAATGGATTTTAGAATTTAACTATCCAGCACAACACCAGAGATGATTCAATAGTGTAACTACAAGATAATAGAAAGTAAGCAAGGATGCCGGAGGGTTCTAAAACCAGAGTCCTTGGTCCATATTGGAGGCTGTCATTTCCTTGAAGAATTTGGAGTGTCTGACTGATTCCTTTAAGAGGTAATCTGCTGTCAAGTTTTCAGTCTGGGTGGCCTTTCCACCTATTCCAGTTATTTCCTGAAGGTAACAATGGGTTTTCCATTGCTGGGAAGTTCGCCTGAGTCATTCAGTGAATAAAAAAGGATGAACCATGGGAAACAGAAAAATTCTGAAAGAGGAAATGAATGAGATGATTGCATCACTGATTCAGACTCAGAAAGGCTGCTCTGGAAAGTGGAGCTAGAGGGATACAGCTGCCATCCCTCAACAATAACATACCAGCTTTTGGGCAGTATTTTTGAGATCAGTTTAAAAATATGCACTTTTCAAAGCCAAGTACCAGTGGCCACTCTGGAGATTGAGATCTGAGGATCCTAGTTTGAAGCCAGCCCAAGCAGGCAAGTGCAAGAGAGTTTTATCTCCAATTAATCACCAAAAAGCTGGAAACAAAACTATAATAGAGCATTAGCTTTCAACCAAAAAAAAAAAAAAAGGGTAAGGGACAGTACTAACTCTGAGTTCAAGCTCCAGTACCAAAATTAAAAAATAAATAATAAATGTACTTTTCAAAACTTGGGGGTCATAGCTTCCTTCTCAAAACACAACAGCCTTTAGTATACATGCTGAGTGAGTACAAATAAAAGGCATACATGAAGAATATTTAACAAATCACAGAATATATAAATGTAATTTATATGATAATGCAATGTAAAAGGTAAAGTGTTTTCTGGAAATGAGCATAAAACTGGAGAATTCTATGGTGATGTACAACAGATGACCACCAGCAATAGCCTGGCACAGCTCTGACTAAGCTTAGCCTTAGCAAATGTACAGATTTAACATAGGGGCTCCTAGGGTCTTGGCCAAGGCTTAAAAGACAACGACTAGTGTATAGACGCTCAATCCCAAGTGATGGTTTAGGGATGCTCTGTTGGGGAATATGTGTGTGTGTTGAGAAATTTCTTAGCCACAATCTTGCCTTCAGAACAGAGACAGGCTCTGCCCCCAGTCAGGTGAGATGGCTTGACTCATATGGCACAGCCTGTGCTGCTAATGGGGCAGACACCCGCCCAGAGTGTCTGTGTCCCAACTGGCATCAGCCTCAGCTCTCCTCATCACCCAATCCAGGAGCAACCCAAGCAGTGAAGGAGCTCAGTCTCAGGTTTCATTTGCTTTGAGGACAGGAAAAGAATTATGATTAATCATTTAAAAAATTATGGGTATACACATTCCCTTTATTATCTCCCTTATCTACCCAGCCTAATAATTTGTTAATGAAAATTTTAGCAAATCGGAGGTAGGTATATACATGTGATAGCTAAAAACAGTTTTTACCTTCATTGTCTTTCCTTCTTCTTTTTCTTTTTTTTCTGGTTTAGTGCTAATACTGGGGGCTTGACCTCAGGGCCTAGACACTATCTCTTAGCTTTTTTACTCAAGGCTGTCACTCTACCACTGAGCCACACCTCCATTTCTGGCTTTTTGGTAGTTAATTGGAGATAAGTATTTCAGGGACTTTGCTACCAATGCTGGCTTTAAACTGCGATTCTCAGATCTCAGCTTCCTGAGTAGCTAGGATTACAGGTATAAGCCACTGGCAACTGGCTATATCCCAAGTCTTGCAGAAAGACTTTTTACTGACCAAGGGATTTCAATACAATGTTCATCTTTCTCACACGAAGTTGTGTTCTGAAAAAGAAAAGTCAGATGAAGAGAGGAAGAGAATAGGCACAAGGAGAGTATAGCATGATTTTTACCAGGTGAGAAAGGGAAGATGGCAAGGACTTGGATATTGCAGGTCACAGAAATGTAGGTTTTATCAGGGATAATCAGAGGAAATGCTTGTCTATTACTCCAGTAATACATAATGAGTAGAGTGACACTTAGAAGTGAAATATGATAAATAAATAAAAAAGATTTCAAGGGGCCAGGGGAAGAAGTTTACAAATGTACAATAGCAGTAGCAGGAAAGCCTCTGAACCCTGAGGGCCCTGTCCACAGCTCCCAGCCACAGCTGATCCCAGAGGAGGTGGAGGAGAGGCAAATGCCACTTCAGCTGATGAAGAAGGGAGCCCATGCAATTGGACAGAGGATGTCACATGGGGGAGTAGCAATCGTAGAGATGGTTAGCAGCAAAGAAACCTACCCACCTCTGCCAGATTGTCACCCAACTTGGGAACAGCGGGCGGGTCGAGGAGCAGAGATTCAGCATGGATTCTGCGTAAGCGTTCTTTAAGATCTGTGTTTTGTGCTAGTGCCTGAAATATGTTAAAAAAAAATAGCGTGGCTTTGTTAATATATGAAAAGTTCAGGAAAGCACAGCATGGGGGGGGGGGGGCGCTCAGCAGAGGTGATCTATAGCAAGTGATGGAACTCTGAGTGACATACTTGAGAACTCTTTTGGGCTTTTCCCCGCTCCTCTCTAGGAGGCTGCGGAGATCACAAATGGAAAAGTCTGGAAATGATACTCCTGTGCTAAATCTTATCTCCAGAGATGGAAGGAGGGTTAATATAGGGTGAAAGGAGGAAGTTGTAAATACTGTCAGCTTTTACTTATGTTTATTTTGGAGGTATTGGTTCTTAAACTCAGAGCCATGTGATCATTCAACTTATTTTTTCAGCTGGTGCTCTAAAACCTGAGCTATGCCTCCAGCCCCACCACAAGTTTTTATGAAAGATCTCCAGCGTCCTCCCAGAATCAATTCCAGGTGCCCAACCATCTTTGGTCTCTTTGCCAACTTCCCCTCCCTCAAGATTCCAAGCTTTTTTTCGTCTTTGAAAAGATGCTACCTCCACCTTATGACTGAACATATTTCAATATGATTTCATTATCACACCAGTTGAACTGGGTCTTGAAGAGCTCTGTGAAGTCAGATTTTGTGGAAAGATAATTTCACTCTTCTAATACAGGTATTAGTTATTGCATTTATTCTTTAGGAATGAAACAAATCTCACCTGCATAAAGGCTTAAGGGCCTTGGCCCTAATGGACATACTTCGCCCCCACACTCCCAGAACTCTTTTATTTTCCCCTGAGCAGGTCCCATCTGTCATCTCAATCTCTCACCAGTGAGAAACTGGTCAAAAGTAAAGGACGTGTTTCCTCTTTGATAATAGTCCTATGTACTTTATAACCTTCTCTTTTCCAAATGGTTTGTCTTTGAAAGGGAATAGAATTCTCTGATTACAACTCCCCAATCAGCTCTCAGGGTGCTTGTACACAGATCCTTCTCCATCTGTCTTCCTGACTCTCTTCCAAGAAGCTCAGAGCCTTTCCTATCCATCAGGATCTGCAGTGCCTACCTGGTGAGAGCCTAGAAGAACATGGTACTGCTTAATCCATGGCCTGGCTCTCCAATAAAGATCTAGTTTTACTATGTAGTTTCCACAGAAGCTATGCATTATTTAAAAAATCCTTGGTGGGTGCTGATGGCTCATGCCTATAATCCTAGCTACTCAGGAGCTGAAATCTGAGGATCGTGGTTCAAAGCCAGCTCAGGCAGGAAACTATGGGACTCTTACCTCCAATAAAACTACTCTCAAAAAGCCAGAAGTAGTACTGTGGCTCAAGTGGTAGAGCACAACTTTTGAGCTAAAAAAGTTCAGGGACAGTGCCCAGGCCCTGAGTTCAAGCCCCCAAATCAGCTCCCTCCTTGCCTCCCTAAAAAAAATCCTCAAGGATCATTTAAGAAACAATGAATAAGAACTAAGGTTAGGGTTATGCAACCATGTATAACAGTCTCTTTGGGTGACTAGAATCTTCCAACCTGAAGATTGTGCTATTTTAGTAGCTTCTCTTTTTTTTGTGGACAACATGTACAAGTAAGAACATACCAAGACTCCACATACAGCCCTAGGATAATCATTCTGATAGATGAGATTATTTTGCAATTTTTATCTGTAAAAAAAACTAGTCTTGGAGAGACCTAAATTCAAGCAAAAAAGGAAAGGACTATTCTATTTAAGTTTCCCAAGTCCTGATCACTACTTTCATCACTATGAGGGTGACTTCATTCTGTGGCCCAGAATGCCAAGGCCAAATAGGGCTCACTGCCACACAAGCAGATCAACAAGATGAGGCCAGATGATCTCCATGAGAGGAGGGAGTGGGAAGGAAAAGGAACTAGGAGCCCTTTAGAGGTATCTTCCAAATGTATTAAAAGCCATCTTAATGAGAGCAATAAGAAATGCCTTACACCACTAAGAAATAAACTCAAAATTAAAAAAAAAAAAACTACTTTGTTTCAGTCAGGCCAAAGTAGTAACTCAGTATTCAGTTGGCTGTTCACTGTAATTCAAAAGGATGTGTTTCTCTCTCTAACCTTAAGGCAACATTACCAGGCTATATGTGACTCAAATGGTAGAGCATCTACATGGCAAGTGTGAGGCCCTGATTCAAATCTTAGGATTACTAAAAAAGAAGGGAGGAAGAAAAGAAGAAGAAAAAAATATAAGCAACATAATAGTTTCTCTCTCTCTCTCTGTATGTATACATGTGTGCACTGGTCCTGGGTCTTGAACTCAGGGTCTAGGTGCTGTCCTTGGGCTTTTTACTCTGTTCTACCACTTGAGCCACAGGTCTACATCTAGGTTTTTTTGTAATTAGTTAGAGATAAGGGTTTCAGGGACTTGTCTACCTAGACCAGCCTTGAATCAAGATCCTCAGATCTCAGCCTCCAATGTAGCTAGAATTACCAGTGTGACTACTGGCATTCAGCTCTTTCTCTTTTTAAAGTAGGAATCCCAAAGTACAAGCAAAAAGTAATAAGTATGCTAATTTGAAAGTTCTCTAGTTTCTTGATAGATAAATGGTTAACTGCTAGACAATTCCAGCTATTCAAATAAGACTAGGACAGAGCACATCAACAGAGTGAGCCTATCTGCTTTGGAGAACAAACAGGTTTAGAAGTAGCAGAATGAATGGCTTACACTTGAGGCTAGGACACTGATTTATCTGTTGTTATGGCCCAATGATTAACTGACACTTGTGTGACTCATTCTTGGTACTCATGGTAGGACAAAAAGCTAACATTTTTTTGTACTAGTTGTAATAAAATAAAACAACTTTTGTGTCTTTGAAAGAGCAGAGTATGGGCTGGGAAGGTGGCTCAGTGGTAGAGTGCTTGCCCTGCATGCATGAGGCTCTGGGTTCGATTCCTCAGCACCACATAAGCAAAAAGAAAAAAAGCTAGAAGTGGCACTGTGGCTCAAGTGGTAGAGCACTAGCCTTGACCTGAAGATCTGAGGACAGTGCTCAGACCCAGAGTTCAAGTCCCACACCGACAAAAAAAAAAAAAGAAAGAGCAGAGTATAGGGTCAGTGCTCTGCACAAGAGTAGAAATTGGAAATTTCTCTCTGCCACTTGTCACATATGAAATTGATCCAAGTTTGTAATGTCTCAGGTCCACAAAAATCACCCAGATTTTGTAAGCATTTACAAAAAACATCTATTAAGATACACACAGAGTCAAAGTTTTATAAGGACCAAAAATGTAAGACATTGGAGGAAATCAAACTTAAAGAATGTATCATTTAAAAAAATATTAGCTACTAAGATTTGGGTAGGCTCTTTCATAGCTTTGTTGTCTCTGATAAAAAGTTAGGACATAATTTGGACCATTTGTTGTTTTGTTTTCTCCTAATTTTTTTCAACTCAACCATGAAAGCTATGAATTTTGAACACAATTATGGGGCTGGAAAACGTAAGCTCATAAGCCCAGATACATTGGCAGGCATTCTTGTGACATGGACACGTAACTCACAGATGACAGTGTGTGCTTCAGACCAATGACCTGAGCAGAAGGGGAGGAGGAGGCGTCCTGCTCCATCAGCTGCTTCAGTCTTTCTCTCTCCGTTGATATGCTATTAAAAGCTGACCTTAAGGCGAAGTAAACTACAAAGATACAATCATTACAAGAAAAAATTTAAAAAGAGGCATAATTAAAAACAACACAGAAAATTCTACTGCTTATAAAAAGAATTTAGAACCCCTCTTTACATCTCATTTAAACAAAGAAAATTGAAAACGATTTCAACAAATCCTATTTCTTATAAAAAATTTCGAGATCAGTACAAAATACATGCTCTGGATAATAATGGCATGTCTATGTAAGTGCTTAAAAAAAACTGTAACATGAACTACATTGGTATAGGATGTTGACAGTGTGGGGTCTAGGGGGTTTTGTGGGATCCTATACTTTATGTGCAATTTTGGTCAGGGCCTAAAAGTGCTTAAAAATTAAAGTGTACTAAAACTCACACACATTGCCAATCCTAAGGCCCTGCCCACTATAATGTTTTATATTTTTCCGACTTATGGATTCAAAATAATCAACAGTTAGTCTGTACCCTCAAAGACTGGAAATGGATAAGAATGGATAATGGATAACAATGCCTTTTTTTTTTCAGGAGGAAATTGGTAACGATACAGCAGAAAAACAACACAGAACCTTAACCAGGTGATCAAAATTAATGACAAGTGACAGTCAGTGGGCTCGGTGTGCCTCTGGGTATAATACATTGGAAAAGACATGACATTTTCTTTGTTGACTTGCCAGCCAGGGGTGGAATCTGAATTTGATCAGAAGGAAACAACTGGCCTATATTTATCAAAATCCCAGTTTTATAAGGAAGAAAAAAAGGCTAAAGAACTGTTCCCAATTAAAGGAGGCTAAGGAGACAGGATGATGAAATGCGGTGTATAAACGAACCCCAGACCAGAACCTGTTCTCAAAGGGAAATGGTCTTCAAAGGCATTCTTCAGAATTTGATGACATTTGACTATGAATATGAGCATTTGAATAGATAACAGTATTGGTTCAATGCTAACTGTCTTAAATTTGATAACTACTTTGGGTCTCATACAGAACATTCCTATTTGCAGGAAATATAACCTAAAGTATAAAACCATGAAGAATGAACCATGAATCATACAAAAATATGCTTATAAAGAGTATATAAAGAACGAGTATATGATAAAAGTATACTTACAAAGAAAGAGTGTAAGTGTGACACAATATTAAAAAGGCAACTTTTCAGTAAGTTTCAAATTATTCCAAACTAAGGTGTTTCCTATCCTTCTTCCTGTTGGTCCCTCTGGCTACAGGACAAGAATCTCAGCATTCAGCTATTCCACTCACTGTCTGAGAACATTCAGGTAACATTCAGGTACAAAGAGAACTTAGCAATATCAGGCACTCAAATTCCTAAACTGAATTTAAAAACCATTAATATATATGGGGGGGAAAAACCTAGCAGGTTTTGGATTACATAATGCACAAGTCACTTCCTGGGGATGAGAGAATGTCATGTGCTATAGTACTAAGCAAGGTTAGCACATCTGAATAATAGCTTTCTAATCTCTTCCATTATATTTTATGATAGAAGGGCAGGAAGAAGGAAGAAACTGAGATACACTGCTTCTCAAATCACCTGCCATATTATTGAATTCCCACAGGCTTGCATTTTCAGAGGTATTGTTATCCAAGAGTGGCCTATTTAGTAACCCAGAAACTAAATACGCATTATTGACTTACTCCCTTCACTTAACAGCAAGAACTCTATATGTTGCCACTGAACTTGTTTGAGTCTGTGGCATTTAGTGACAGACTTAGAGAATCTTTTCAAGATCCTAATACAAAGAAGCAATTTGTGAGTGCTGTCTCTGACTCTTGGTCTTGGACTCTGTCTCTGTCACCCTCTCACACACAAACACACACTATGATATTCCTCCATCACCAGAAGAGAGGGTTCCATTGTTTATTTACTCCATGATCTTGGATAAGTAAATAATGTGCCCTTAAATGGGGATACCAATAGAAATCAATAGCATTTACTTAATAGATTGTTAAAAGGATTACATAAAATAATTCAAGTAAAGCTCTGAACTCAGTGCACAGCATGTAATCAGTATTAAATGTTATGATGGCAAAAATGGAGATGATGCTGAAAGAGATACACAAGGATGACAGTGGATGGCTGTGATCCCTTGAAATAGGAGCAGCAGCTCTGGCAGGATGCTTTAGCTTGTTGCTTGAACAATGCTTGATTCTATGAATGAGGGATTGACCAAAGCATACTGAGCCACAGGAGAGCAGCCTCAGGAGGAGGGTGATGAACCCTGCTGGGAGCTCACTGCATTTCATACCCCATTAATCACCTCCCTCACCCCATGGGATTCACATGACCATTGCAGTAAGTCCCTAGGGGAACAGCCTCCTCACTGACATGTTTATTCTACCAAATGAAATTAACAAGGTATTCAGCTGGCTGCCACTTTCCCAAATCAATTCCACTGGCTTTCTTTTGCCCTGCTGTTAAGCAAGGCTTTCAACTCAACTAGGCGATTCCTATTTAAAGGTTTCATTTGGCAGAATGTGCACTGTTTGGTTCAGAATGTATTGTTAAGGCTGTGGTGTGAAAATAAGCAGGGAAAAAAAAATTAAGCAAAAAGAAACTCATGTAGTCATTATCTATCATTGTAAGGTTTAAAATTCATGCACAATCATTTAACATGGGATTTAGAAGACTAGATCCCCAAGCAGTAATGTTCTTAGATGTAACTACTCCGAGGATGGAGGACATTAGTCACACCCAGACCCTTGAGGCCAATCATGGAGACCATGGTTATAGTAACTGTGGATCCCAAATGTCAAGGATATTCTGCAACAGGAGTGTCTTCCTGTTTCTAACTTCATTCTAAGTTTATTTAGACAAAAGATTTAAACACACTATTGCATCCATGGGTATCTGATAATAAAGCCACCTAGAAAGCCTAAAAACCTGAAAGATCACCCAAGCCGCCCACCCCAAGCATGACCAACTATTTGTGAGCCCCAGCATCCTGGCTAAGTGGCCTTTCAGCCCATGCTCTTTAAAGGCCTTCCTGTTGCTAAGACAACTTTTGCCTCAGTCTCTTCCCACTGTCAAATAGGACTAGTTCTTCTCACATAAGAAAGTCAAATACTGGCTGGGCGCCAGTGGCTCACGCCTGTAATCCTAGCTACTCAGGAGGCTGAGATCTGAGGATCGAGGTTCAAAGCCAGCCTGAGCAGGAAAGTCCGTGAAACTCTTATCTCTAATAAATCACCAGAAAATGGGAAGTGGCATTGCAGCTCAAGTGGTAGAGCACTAGCCTTGAGCTGAAGAGCTGAGGGACAGCGCTCAGGCCCAGAGTTCAAGGCCCACGACTGACAAAAAAAAAAAAAAGAAAAAGAAAGTCAAATATTGGAGGACAGTTATGGGATCTCTATTTATTCATATCCCTCTCTCAGATAATCCTTAAGTATTTCTTAGACCTCTTGGTTTAAGAGAGTGGGACGAGGTTGAGTTTTGACTATAAGAAATCTTCTATGCCAGTCCTTAATTGCATTAAGCTGCTGGGGCTAGAATACCTGATATATTTGGATAGGGAAGCTGCTAATGAAGGATAATTCTACTCTTAATAGATCTGAGCTCCTTCTGCTTCACACATTTCTTCTTTAGCATTTTTCTAGCACTAGGAAGGACCATAAGGAACATAGTTACGGATGTTATGGGCACCAGCCTTGAAGAGGTAGTGTGATATAAGGGAAAGAATGTCGGTAGTAAGGCAGACAAGGACCCTGAATCCTATGTACACTACTTAGTTAGGATTTAGATTTTGGACAAATCCTCACTTCTACCCTGTATGTGTGGAAAATGCCCACCAGTCACCATCGCCTTAAGGAAACAATGAGAAAATATACTATCATATCACTTAACACAGTAGAACTCAGCTTTCTTTCCTTTCCTTTTTTTGCTTAAATACAAACCAAGTTTTGAGTGAATTATCTTTAAAATACTAATGTTTTAAAAAATACCTAGCATGATTTGATCTTTTCTAACCAATATTCTGCCCAAATCACTTTGCACAGATTAGGTAATTGTCCTAAATGGTGCTACTGATTTACTGGCAAGTTATGTGAAATCAACTGCTTGGCATGTTGAAACAGAATTCCAATTTATATAAATATATTACCTGACTTTTTCTTAGAGTTTGTGTGTGTGTGTGTGTATTAGAAACTAATATATATTAGAAGCCTACATATATATGTATATATATATATATATATATATATATATATATATATATATATATATGAATCTAATATATATTAGCCACCTAGGGGAAAATATGTTGGTTTCTAATATGTGAAAGTGGTATCACTATGTCATACTTGACTTATTTTGGGCAAGTGTTTATAGCAGCTTTACTCATAATTGCCAAACCCTGGAAGAAACCAAGATGTCCCTTGGTAGGAGATAAATGCATATGCCTAAGTGAAAAAAAAAAAGAAGCCAATTTGAAAAGGCTATATACTCAATGTTTCCAACTGCTGGACATTCTGTGAGAGGCAAAGCTATTCAGATGGTAGAAATTTCAGTGGCTGCCAGAGGCTGAGGGAAGGAGAGAGGGAAGGAGGGATGAATAGAATGAGGACATAAGATTTTCAGGGCAGCACACAGTGTTTGATTCAATGCTTCCTTTACCTCAAGACAGTTCAGAAAATGGTCATTCAACAATTGGAGCTCAATACCAAAAAGGCTCTAGGACAGAAGAGAAAGCTAATACAGTTTAATTTTGCTTTATTCTTAGTGTCTGCATGGATAAATGAATATTTCTCTCATATACAGGAATATACTTCCTAGGCCTCAATGTTTTCCCTTTCATGGAAAGAAAGCAAATATACTACTACCTAGAGTTCCCTGCCCCTGGTTCCACTGGGTTTCTTGCTTTTTCACCTAAATCTGTCAGCTAGGTTTGATCATTTCTTTTCACTGCTGCTTTTAGAATACATTCTCACAAACCTTTCTTGTTACAAAATACATCAATATGAATTCTCTCTGTCTTGGGTAAAACAATTCATAATAGAA